CAGCACCAGGAGGTCCCACACCTGGGCCAGGAGCACAGCAGAGCACAGGGACCCAGTCCCGGGAGGACCACATGTAATATAAACATTGAGGATTCAGAGTGAAACAAAACAGGATGATCAAATCTCCAGCAGAAGAAGCAAATCAAAATACTGTTTTCCCATTGTACCTTTTAAAGAAATTTTCAATAAACATTATAGGAATGTTGTCCCATTACCATGAGACATTTGGATTGCAGTGAAATAACATGGTTCACTGGTGGCACGTGCATTGTACGGAAGGCATGGGGTTGAGAAATTAATTAATTAGATTTGCCAGTAGTGATTTCCAGGCTCAGACAAACAGCTGCTGCAGGTTACTGCTGTTCCCCTGTGCGCTGAGCTACCCACTAATACAAAGGTCCAAACAAAAAGCGAGCTCATACATCCAGCAAATAATTTTTAACAAATTTCTAGAGAGGAGAGGGTGTGCACGCAAGGGTGCTCCAACTCGAAGACTGAAATACGTTAGCATAATAAGTAAACACAAGCAGGAGGAAGCTCAACGGCGCAAACATTAGTTGTGCCACGAGCTTTGCCTTCGCTTTCCTGCCAAACCCTAACACACTCGCACAGGAGACCCCCGCGGCCCGCCCGTGCCGCGCCGCCTCACGCCCGACCCGCGCGCCCCGAGCGAGCTCCGCAGCCGCCGGACCCGGACCGCCGTCACGCGCCCCGCGGGGCGGGCCCCGCCTCCGCCGCGGGCCAATCACCGCCCCGCCCTGCGCGGCCCCTGCCGCCGCCGGCCAATGGGACGCGGCCTGGAGCGCGGGGGGGCGGTGCGCGCGCGGCCCGTTGGGCTCCAGTGGCCCCGCCCGGGGGGCGGCTCCCGGCGCGCCCGGCCCGGCCCAGGCGGCAGCGGCGGCGCGATGCGGAGCCGGAGCGAGCGGAGTCGCGGGTAGACGAGCTGAGCTGAGCTGCGCCCGCCCGGGAGGCCCGGCTGCAGGTACGAGCCGCAGCCCCGCGGGGGTCCAGGGGCTGGCGGGGTCGCGGCGGGCGCTCCGAGCCGCCGCGGGGCTGCACTGTGCCGTGCCGGGGTGACTCCTCGCGGGAGGGGTCGGCGGGGCGGGCGAGGGGATGCGGCAGGTGCCGGGCTGAGGGGGCTCGGTGCCGGCGCTGCGGGGGGCGCCGGTTCCAAGATGGCCCCCGCCCCCCCGTCTCCGGGAGCCCCCAGGAGCCGCGGGGGGCGGCACCCTGCCGCGGGGCTCCCCTGCGGGGGCGGCTCCGTGCGGGGAGCGCTGGGTCCCGGAGCCCCGCCGCGGGCGATCCCGGCCGGGCGTGAGCGGGCGGGGGAGCTCACGGTGGATCTAATCACGGCGAGTGCCTCGGCCGTGCCCGGCTTTTAAAACCTGCCGGGCTGCCGGGATTCGTTGCGCAGAGCTCACTCCGGCGAGTAATGGATGTGGCTGAGCCATTAAGGGACACCGCGCTGCGCAGCCGGGCTCTGGAGACCTATCAACTGCGATTTATGGGGTATCGAGGCCGGGAGGCGTTTTTATGAATTGGTTGATAACAACTTAATTCACCTGTGGAGCTAGCTCCTGTTAATGCCTACATTTAATCTGTGTGGAACAGTAAACAGTGTTATTAATCTGGCGTGTTGCGTGTGGGGAAACGTGGATGATGATATTTGGTGTAAGAGCTGGGAAGAGCAGCAGGCACTTTTGCATGCTGCTTGTGTGCTTTCACCTCTGAATTCCTAGCTTCGTTTTATTCAATCTGTATTTATAACAAGCTGCCTTTCTGCATTTCCGGAGCTTTTTCATTGATTTGATTTCTGAAACAGCTCACCACATCTTTGCCTTTCCTTCCTTCTAAATAAACTGTAGATAAACTGCAGGTACAGTAGCTTTCAGTGATCATAGAATCTTCAAGGTTGGAAGAGACCTTTAAGATCATCAAGTCCAACCATCAACTCAGCACTACCACTGTAACCCTTAAACCACTAAACCATATCACCCAGCACTGGATTTCTTCCTTTTGAAGAAGACTGAACCGTCTGGACAGTGGTGATCAGCATTTTTAGACCTCATGGCAATCTTCAGTAGCTGAATTCACAATTTGTTTTTTACAGTTAGGGTTTTTGTATGAGGTTCAGAGTTCTTATTTTAAGTTTACTTAGATCAAGAGCCCCATTTTAACAAGGCATGTTGTTTTGTAGGTGTTCATTTTCAAATGTAGTAATTAGAACTTTGGTATGAGGTATTATCGTCCTTTAGGTCTCTTTTATGAAGGGATATTTACATCTTGGGCATATTTATAGAAATATTTTACTTAATTTACAACTAGGTCATTCACTTACTGAAAGTATTGCTTGCTCTTAATTGATGTGGATGATCAAATCTATAATCTCACTTGGAATTAGCATTGGGATTTTGCTAGATGTTACTGTTTGGATTGAGTAAGTTTTTTTGTATTCAGGATGTGTGATTGCATGTAGCTTCTAAAAACTGTCTTAAAGCAATAGTTAATTTAGGGTTTGGGATTTAATCTTGTAGAGCTAGGAAATGAGTGAATGAGAATCATCAGTTTCAACTGTGCCTGCTTATTCATCAGTATGGAAAGGAGTAATCTAAATGGTGATAAGTTGATTTAAATTATTTCAGACATCAAATAGCTTTGAACTTTATTGTGTATGTGTTTATATTTGCATGTGTACACTTAAAAGGAGCAGAGGAAGTCCCAGAGCTGCCAATTGCTGTCAACTGGCAAAGTACATCAGGGAAGGATTGTTTTATGTTTACTTTGTTCCTGTTCTCTTCTTTAGCCATCCACTAGCAGTCCTTATTAGAAACAGGATACTGTGTCAGATGGACCTTGAACCTGAGTTAGTATTGCATTTTTGTGTTTGTAATCAAATGTTTTCTATGTAGTAACATGCCATTAGGAATTTAAATTGGGCAGGTGTCAGAGGTGTAAGTTTTTAAGAATACAATTTAAAAGTCAATACTAGGTGCAGGGAAAGCAGGCTAACTTACCTGTAATTTTGTTAACATTTTTAGACATCCCAACTCCTGATAGGAAATGGTCACAAGTATGTCTTCTAAGTGGCAACTTGTAGTCCTTTCCCGGGTGCCCTGTGGGAGCACTGTGCTTCTCACCAAGATGATGTTGAATCTGCTGCAACTCCCGTCTGTTGTTATGATGTTGTGATGTTGCCCTTCTCTGAAACTACAGCCTTAGTTCTGCTTTCCTGCACTGAATCTCCCCTTTTTGTGTTGCAAGCACCTGAGCCTTTCATTTATTTTTAGCATATGGAAGGGAGCACAGAAGGGACCTACAAAAACTTGTTCAGTCACATCTTCCCTCTAAACTGGTTCTTCTTCATTAAGCTTTACTGTGGAACTTGTATGATAATAAGTAAAAACAGGAAAAAAATCCAGTCTTGCTGCTAGCAAAGTGTCTGGTAGTTGTCTTCCAGAGTGTCTTTTGGAAAGCTGTTGCAGTGAGTTAAGCACATTTCATCATTTAGAACTACGTGAATTATGTGTAGGAGTCTTGAAAGTTTCCCATGTAGTTGTGCTAATGCACTTTAATTCCAGCCTGTGGTGTATATACTCTTCCTGACCTCATCTCCTGAAAAGTTTTCATCCTAGTTGCTGCTGGGTTTTGTTTATTAAGGAAAAGATGCAGTATACTAAATTATCCCTTCCTAATTTTAGTCTTAGAAGTATAGTAATATAGCTGAATTTATTTATACCTGCTTTCAGTGGATTGTGGGCATTTATATCACAAGTGATATTGCACTTATCTAATACAGTGCCTTGTCCTGGATTACAGAAATAGAGAGACATGGAGCAAGCATTACTTAATACACTTCAGATAACTTTTACACTGCAGTATCCCTAACATCCCTTGGCAGCTCAGATCATTAGCTCTATCCCCTGTCATGTTGGCTGTATGGCAGGTCTGAGAACAGATTGATGCCACATTTTTATATTTTACTGAACCGTTTTTGAGCGTTACCATGAAGTATTCATTAAAATCCCTTGACAAGCGAGTTTCCAAAGACAGCAATAAATGATAGATACATTGACATACTCTTTTAGCTAGCAGTCTTGCATTTAGGGGAAAACCAACAGAAAGCAAAAATAAGGCATGTCTGAATATGCACAAAACTTTACTTTGATGTTCTTGAATATCTCTGTTCATTATGCTTGGCTACCAAAGAAGACAACTTGGATTTTACCCCTACTTTGGTAGGCTGACAGATTCCATGTGTTCTTAAGCAATGGCATTAAGCAGAGTGGCCTCTGGGACTCCAGGTTTTGTCCTGAAAATGGTTTATCAATCTACATTATGAATCATGGCTGGAACCAACCTTACCTCCCAAGTACAAGTTCCGGAGAAAAGATGAGCTGCTAATATATGAGGGTTTCCAGAATATTTAATCCTTTGCTGCATGTTGGTGTGCACAGCTAGTAATGGTGTGGATGTCACTGCTGACTTTCAAAACAGAGCGATTAGCTATGAAGAAGCAAAGAAATGAACATCTTTACCACAAGCATGAAGTCACAAGGTGTTTTTAATATGGACCCATTAAGTGCAGTGGTAGAAGGCTTATACCTAATATTTTGTACCAGAACTTGCATATTGTTCACATATAAAATGGGATTATATGTCTGAAGTCTTACAAATGTTTATATGTTAGATAAAGCTTACTGGTACCCATTTTGAAATCATTATTTTGCTTAATTATTACTTCAAGAACAAGTTATCTGGGATAGGCCTTGAGGCAGAAGAGATATGAAACTTGAAATCCTCTTTCCCCACAGGTTAAATAAGTCTTTCGCTTTTCTCATTTCTGTAGAGCTTCGTAGAGAGGGAGTTGTTGGAAAGTTAGCTATTTTAAACTTATTCTCCTAACATTTTGAATTAAAAAAATGAAAATATGTAGTATTTCCAACACTGACTAGAACTAATGCCATATTAATATTAGCCTTTCTTTTTTCTTTCAGGCTCCATAGATTCTCAGCTTCGTAATCTGGAAAATGCGTATCTTAAGGCCCTGTTTGAAGTGAAGACAGTCCATCCAGGTAAGATGGACTGGCTACCTTATGATGACTCTTGCTCATTGTTTTCTGATACTGGACTAGGCTGTTGCTTGTCTTCTACAGTTCTGAACAGTGTGTGGATTAGTATTAAAGACCAAGAATAATTTTAATATCATGCTTAGTATCAATAAATAAAGCTGTGAAACAGTGTTGTACCATTATTTGGTCTAAGTATTGTGTGTTGTCTAATTGTGTGTTTCTTTATTGTCTTGTAAAGAGAGCCTCTTTTTTGAGTCAAGAATGACTAAATTTTCTTGTTATTTCATCATGTGTGATAGTAGAAGTTTTGAAAAAGTAGGAAAGTATTGCAAATACAGCCAATGGTCATTGACAACCTACTATAAAACACATTGCATTATAAGTTGTGTAACAGGTTTAGGTGTAGAGTAAAACTGCTTCAGAGCTACTAATTGTGGCTCAGAACTTGGAAAAGTACACATCCATTTATATAAAGAGCACAGAAAACCTTTATTGCATTCATAATGTATTGTTTGATGGATTGAGCTTGGCTTTAGCAAATGAAGCTGTTCCAAGAGGAACAATGTAGTTTCTGATATGAAGTGCAGAGCTGCTGTTTCACAGACAATATGCCATGAATGCTATTTAAAGAAACAGACTTGACATTACTAATTACACATAGGAGAGTGAAGTATATTTATTTCACACATTACATGTGGCCGAATCAGAAGCTGCAACTGGCAGATGGAGAGGAGAGGGTTTTTTTGTGTTTTTAGAAAACACCTTGCAAGTTCAGCTGATGGAAAGCTTTACTTTTTTGTCTCAATTCAGAAGAGCTGTAAAACCAGAAGTGATCTAAGGAAATAATCTTGAATTTCTTCTTAGAGGTTTGACAGATACAGTAATGAAGGCTTTCAGTGGCTTAACAGATACTGAGATAGAGGTTTTCAGTGAATAGCTGTTCATGAGCAGTTAATTATCTCATTGTAATCTGGGTCATTTGGGAAGCTGTGAACACAGTTAACTTTTGTGTTAGGATTGCATTGTGAGTGAAATGTGTGGAGGGGGGAACGCTGAAGCTGCTTCATCTTGAAACTAGCGAGGCTGGAGGTGATCAAAATCAACTTCTGAATGAGCAGCTTGCTCTCCTTTTAAGGTGAATGAAGGCTAAAGCCTAACGAGACTATGAAATCTCTGTTCTAAGTCATATCTAAAAATCCTTGCTCCTCCCCTAATGCTTTCCCGGCTACCAAGGCAGTTACTGCTGCTCCCACCAGGACAAACAGCAGCCCTTTGTTAGCTGCCTTGCCTGGGGCACACCCTATCCTCGCTTTACTGCTGCTCTCTTGCCATCTGGGGATCCGAGGGACCCTGAAAGGAGCCTTTTGCTGCCTAATCTCCGAGGTTAACTGATTAAGTCTGTGTTACCTCCAGTACAGGTACAGCTGACCTGTAACTTCAGTCCCGCCTACTGAAGTTGTAGCCTTTAACTTCCTGTGGGGAAAGGAACATCCAGTCTGTACCACAGAGCTGTTGGAGGCTTCTTATTCTAAGATTGGTTACTTCTCCAAAGATGCAGATCTGTGACTTTAATAATATCAAAATTATATGTGCTAGAAACTTTGTCTTGGTATTAAGAGGACACACTACAAGTACTATAGTGCAGTAAGTCTGACAGCACCCTGGTTGAGCTGCTTTGAAAGCTTGTCAAGTGTTTGAAATATGATACAGACAGTGACTTGGAGCACCTTCCAGCTGCCTTGACCAGTCTGAGCAAGGGTATAGAAATGGCAAATAAACCTCAGAGGATAAAACTGTGAATGGCATGCTTTGAGCCAAGTGCTGAAGGGTGCCTTTGGTCCCTCGTCTGGCTGCCGGGAGAGTCAAGTGTCTGGGTCGTGGGACCTGGAACAGGTCTGCCAGGACACCCTGGGTGCTTCCCAGGGAGGACTGTCCAGCTTCAAGAAATCTTGATAGTTAAAATGGAGAGCAAAAATCATGTGCAGCAGCTGAGTACTGAGGCAAGATAGGAGTCAGTCATCCAGCAAACACATTTTTGGATCAAGTGTAGAAAAGACAGATGTTTTCCTTTGTTTAGAACCATGGCTACAGCTAGCAAATGCAGACAGTTGAATGCTGTTGTATTTTCCCTCTGTTCATTTCTGCTGGAAGATACTGCTTCTAGTGGATGGTGGGCATGCTGGCACCCAGATTGGAGGAGAAATTGTCACTGGAAATAGCAGATTTCTGGACTGCTACAGTGGAGGAAAATGTCTTCCTGGGCAGTTAAATGTGCAAAGTTCTGCTGCGAGTGCTGCAAAGGGAAAGATTCACAAGGCAGCTACTGGAGGAAACAGGCATCAAAGGACCAGACTGACAACTGGGAAAAAGCTGAAAACTTTATTTTGTCGGCTGTAAACGCTTTTGTTTCCCAGGAGCTGCAGAAACTGTTTTCTAACACTATGTACTGTATTGAATATTACTTTACTGCCTGATTTCATGACATATGCATTTATTGACATACTGACATATTATGCATTTCATGATATATGCAATAAAGATAATTAAGATTCCTTCTCATTAGGACTTTTTATTGAACTTGTTCACATTGTTACGTGAAGACTGTTAAGTACCTTCATTTCAAAAGGAAGAAATCTTGGAATGGGAATAGAAGGGTGTTAGAAACCAACACAGAAATTTGTCTAAAAAGAAGAATCTTTAGCTGACATGGCTGTGGAGGAAGGATTTAAATATTTTAGGTACCACTTTTCTTTCCCAATACGTGATATAAAACGTAATTTGCCAACATTAATATAACAAATATTTGAATTTTGGAAATAAACAGACCCACATGTTGCACACAGCGCAAGAGTCTTAGCTGATACCTGTAAGGAAGGGTTTGCAAACTCAATAACCTCTTCTCACAGTAGAGCCCGACTGATCTGCTAATTACCTTTAATGAGTCATAGAATACCAAGGAAACTTAAGAAAATTTACCAAATGCTATTTTTCTTTTCATATTTGGAGTTGTGTCAGGTGTGTGTGGTCCAAATCATTACTGGTTGGTTTATCATCACCACAACTGACTGAAAAAAGTACACAGAAACATAATAACCAACATCTGTAATAGGAAGATGGGTAATCTCAACCCAGTAACTCTGTACCAGTGGTTTACTTCTGGCTCAACAAACCAAAGGTGGTGTTAGATTTTTCTTATGGTTCAGAATTAAAACATCCCCTACGGAAGATAGATTTAGGAAAATACTCTCTTTAACTGCTCTATGAATGGAGGCAGACAGCAGTTGTAACACAACGTTTAATTCTGTAGCTTTGTTGTGTAGGTGGACATATGTAATCCATGATGGCTGTTGAGTAAATGCCTCTTCATTAATGTTGAATTTCCATTTTACTCTCCAGACTTTCACCTTCATCACACTATTTAATGAGTGGTTTTGACTTGCTCTGGGCGATAGGAAATTTGAAAGAAAATGGGGTATTCTGGTTTCTTTATTCAAGGACCGAGTGCACCATTTAAAGTGCTGCTAACTTACATCAGGGAATTAAATGTCCCACCTTATTAAATCACTTATTCTGTCTTCTCTAAAGCTTTCATCTAGCTCTGATATAGCATTAATATTTAAAATGCATGTATCAGTTCAATAGACACATGCATTACTTATCAAGACACTGCAGCTTATTAAAACAAACCTGCTGTCATCACAGGTAAAAGTCTCTAGAATGACACATAGTGCCAGCAGATGCATGGTACATTTTCACAGGCTGGTCAGTTGGGATGATGGAAAAAACAGAAGTTGTGGATGCCCCATCCCTGGCAGTGCTCAAGGCCAGGATGGATGAGGCTTTAGACAACCTGGTCTAGTGGGAGGTGTCTGTGTCCATGGCAGTGGGGTTGGAAATAGGTGATCCTTAAAGTCCCTTCCCAAACCATTCTGTGATTCTGATGGTGAAAAAACACCATCTAGATAATATGAATGGAGTATCTCCAGAGTCCTGAAAAGAAAACATGCCTGCACATTAGTATGGTCTAAGACTAACAGTAACAGGGAAGTGTTAAGTAACTGGACCTTCTGTGGCTGTTTAATTTACATAAACAGTTTCTAGTATGTCAGAGCAGCTACATGTTTTAATTGAGATTTCTTACATTCGCCCATATTGTGAAGTTCTAAATAATAAGTTTAGTTCAGTTGTCCGAAAGCAAATCTCATCTTATGTGTGATACATTAGATGTTAGACATTTGTTTAGCTGCTAGTTTGCAGCTCATAAGGTCTCTCATCAGTGGAATAAAAATAAGAGCGTGTCCTTCTTCCCATGCCTTCAGAGGAATGGTCGGAGCTGCTGTGGTGTCTGCAGGATTCCAGCGCGTGTCGCTCCTGGCTCCAGGCTACACTGACAGTGTCCTCACTACAGAGGCCAAAAGTCTTCATCCCTGTCTTTGCAGGGCTGCTTCTCACTCGCTGGCTGTCCAGATTCAGATGCTGATTTCCCTTATATTTAGATGTGCACTTGAGAGGACAGTGAGCAAAGAGCTTTGTGCCCTCTAATTAGTATGGGCCTTATGACCTATGTGCTGGCCATCATACATGAATGAAAGGCATACTGTTACCTTCTTCCTCTCTCAAGCAGGGTTTGGTTTTGATTCTGCCTTAACAAATGTTAATGTTTCTCTACTGTTGTTCCTTATATAATCTCCTGAATAATGGAAATTACTCAGGAGAATGTGTATCTTCCTCTGTATATATTTTGCTGCCTTTAGAAAGAAAGATTTCTCCATAGTTCTTGGAATACTTTCTAGAGACATTAAATGATATGTTGTTCTGAATTAGTAAGTAATAATACGACCTTTTCTTCTCAAAAACTCATTCTTGAGTGGTATGCCAAGATGTTATCTCCCCACTTGAGTGCTTGACTAGAGATATGAGATTTGATATGGATGTGTGTGACAGGCACACACAGTGGAGAAGTAAGAACATGCCACAGCCTGACTGAAGCCTCATGTCTAGTT